TACTGCTCGTCCAATGTAATCCAAGTGTCCTGAGTGGGTAGCATCCAGAATTTACTCGAAACGAAGTCATTTAGAATGTTTTTAGAGCATAAACAGTAGTGTATAGGATTTCCTGAAAGCGCGCATGTGCGTGTTCATGACGCTACGGAAGCCGGCAGACCAAACCAGCGCATTCAGCTCAGCAAAGGACTCATGCTCTTCCTCAACACTGAAGTCCTCAGACATTTTTCTTTCGTTGTTTCTTTCTTTGCACAGGTAAACAGCACATTTCTTCTTCTACGCTTGCATTATTGGCAGAGCAGACGCTGAATGCGCACTTTCATCTGGTTTGGTCTGCCGGCTTCCGTAGCGTCGTGATCGCGCAGGTGCGCGCTTTCAAGAAATCCTATACACTACTGTTTATGCTCTAAAAACATTCTAAATGACTTCGTTTCGAGTAAATTCTGGATGCTACCCACTCAGGACACTTGGAATACATTGGACGAGCAGTATGGAGGAATATTGACACGTTTTTTGTGGACTTTTATGGACCTTTCTGTCTCAGGCACCATAGACCTCCATTATTTGAATGTCAGCAAACAGCAAGAAGCCTCCCAGATCTCCAGATGCATTTGAGATATCAAAAAAGTACTCCAGGGTGTTGTTCAGCATGGGGGTGAGTAGAAAATGAAGGCTAATCATGTTTTGGGTGTACTATTCCTTTAAACAACACAAGAGTAACATGTCTCTTCAAAATTCATCATGGTCTCATTGTGATTCCTTTATTCAAGGGTTGCCACAGCGAGTCAATACGAGTCGCTCACAGACATGGCAAAGTTTTATATCTTTTGAGCTCACATTGGAGAAATTTACCTCTGCATTTAACCCATCCCATAGAGGAGCAGTGGGCTGCCATTGTGCAGCATCAGGTGAGCAGTGTGGGGTTAAGGGTCTTGCTCAGAGACCCAGAATGGCAGTCTGTGGGAGTGGGTTTCGAACTCACAACTTCAGTATTCCAAGCTCTATGCCCTAACCACTAGGCCACCACTCCCCCAAACAAGATCTCTCCCCACAAAAGCATCATGGGATTTGTTTTGGGGGGCGAGAGAGAACAGAGATGGAGCAGACACTGTGCTGGGAGCCGGAGTCACTTGACCAACGGGGAGGGAAAAGTACTGGTCATCTGTCCAAACGGTGAGATTGAGGGGTTAGGGAGACGTTTGGACAAAGCCAATGACCTAAATAAAGGTCCCTTAATAGCATAAAAATATTTGAATAGAGCTAGACTTAATCCAGTGCTAGCAATATTTCTGTATAAAAGCAAAACCTGTTTGCTGCTTTTAGAGTCAAGAGGGACTGGCAAAATTGTTGCAATGGAAATGTAATTTGTTTTATTCCACTTTTTAATAATGCTGAGCAATTAGTTGCATTTATAATACAATATTAATTTAACAAAAACACAATTTTGAAATCGCAGAGGCACTTATTTTTAATTACATATTTAATAGGAGTAGGACATTAAATTTCTCCCTCCAGTCCTTTGAATGGTGGTTAAATGCTTGAAGTGGGCCACACAGAAAGGTAGAGAGTTGTAGATAGCTCGCAGATCCATGCATGCAAGTAAAAGTAAACATTTTTCATACAATAGCTACAGTAAAGTCCTGTAACAATGGAATTTGGGCAAGCTAGCCCCCAAAAACCGAAAGCCTTGGGTAAAATATCTACAAGCCTGGTGTTGATGCAAAGGAAAAACGAAATAAAATCGCAATTCAGATTTTTGGAAAAATTGTCAGCCTTATTTTCTGAATTGTGAGTACTTTTTTTTATGAGAAAATTGGACTGGATATCAATGTTTATCTTTGTGCATCCAGTTTGCATAAGATAAAGATAACAGATCTCTTATCTGATATATTGCAAATGCAACTAATTGCCCACCACTCCCAGTGGTGGGCTAGTAGGTAGGGCATAGAAGTTGGAATCCTGAGGTTCTGAGGTCAAGCCCCACTTCCACAGACTGCTACTCTGGGTCCCTTAGCAAAGACCGTTAACCCCACACTGCTCCCAGGGCGCCGCACAATGGCAGCCCACTGCTCCCCAAGGGGATGGGTTAAATGCAGTGTTAATTTCTTTGATCTGACAGTGTAATGACTGAAAAAAAAAAAAAAACCTGTGACCCCATTTCTGTTTTTAGACAGGCTGTGTTCCCCAAACATGCTTGTGTACAGTAGGTACTGCTGCTGATGATGATGTCACAATATGACACCACTCTGCACTAAAACTAAAAATGTACTCATTTCTTAATCAACTATCTTCTAGAATTTCAAAATACTATTACCTATATTTGTTATTTTACGTTTCTTTGGCGACCCAAGATAGTTGTAAGCACAAAACAATCATTCTAAGTCTTGAAGTAAAGTGACGCATTCTAAGACAGACTGAGCTCTACCATTTAACACAAAACATCATTAATTCTTTTTATTCTTTTTATTAAGATCTGAGGGCAGAAGAGGATAAATGGAATATCTTTAAAAAATCCTTTTGTTATTCTAAATGTAGAAAATGCACAATTGTTCACACGAACCTGTTAACTACTGAGCACAGATAGCCACAGTGCTCACTAGGTCTCCTCCTTCATACCATGGTCTTTCAATTACTTTTTTGTTATCAATCAGGTAAAACTTCCTCCGTCATTAGACACTAACACTACAGGTGCTCCTTATGGACATTGCATCAGGATATTATCATTGTCCGGGCAATCGCAATGTTTTACATCATCGTGGCACCATTCAGCCAATCAGTGTAACGTCACTGGCGTGCGCTGGGCCTGAGCGGATCTGAGCAGCCGAGTAGATCTTGTATTCTACACCGGTCACTAAGTATGCAAACACCCAAAGAAGTGTTTAACCGGAGTGTGGAACAAGGCTCCAAAAGGAAATTACCTTCTCATTGAGCCATGCTTGAAAAAAGAAAAAAAAAATGGAGCAGATGTTAGGACATGTCTGAAAACAGAGGAGGAAGCAGCAAACCACAGTGCCTGCACTAGTTCTGTAGTAGCATGGCAGAATACCACAATCAGTTACTGAGAAAAATGCAGAAAGGGCTACACTATTCAGGAAATGTGGAAAAAAAAAGTAAAAGCCATGATAGTGGTAAATGTGCTCACCTGCTAGGGGTTTTTAATTCTCCTAGCAAGACAGTCTTAGGCTAAACTGGTTTAAATCCTATTCAAGATTAACATTTTTATGTGTTTAGGACTGTTTACCTTTGAGTTAGTGTTTCATTAAGCATCACGGACACAGATTCCACATGAGGTCAATGCCTGCTACCAAGCTGAGTGAGTCCCAGTATTCCTCAGAGCTCCACAGATTTTCACCTCAACCAGCCATACTGAAGCAGAGCTTGGACATTAGAGCAAAAAGAAAAGTCTGCCAGAAGAGGAGAGACCTTTGTTGTATTTAGTATGAGCCTCTGTGTATTACCATAAATGCTTGCTGGCGCTAAATCTGGACAGCCAAAAATAGCTTAAGCATCTGCTGCTGCTGCTCAGGGACTGAGCAAGCTGTCCACAGGCAAAGAGGATAGCGTTCAGCACACCAAGATGGCGACCATGAACAGATTTGAAATCCTCAGATGTCATAACCTCTACTTTCCCAATATCTAATGAGCTGACACTGAGTTGAACTGTTGGGATATCACTACACCAAGTTGTGAAAGTGTTGTCAGTTAATGTAACAAAGGGAAACAGCCTGTGGGTGTTATTTTTTTTCCCTCTTTCGACTTTTTTTTCTTCCACCTCTTCCAGTAAATTTGATTTACTTCTCTTAAAGTACTCACGTAGTTGTATTTTCAGCCACAAACTTCCATAAATGAATCAATAGTTGGTTTTTCAAAAACTTTCTATAAAAGAAAGCGTCACGTCTTTATTCTAAAACCCTTTTTATTCTAATATCTCTAAAAGAAAACCTTTCCATTAAGCATTCACCTGTATAGTAAATGGAATAATTTTATCAGTTGTCTTTTAAAGGTCTATTAGAAACATGAATACCTTTATAGGACACCAAAGACTATCTTTTCACTTAATGACTTAATTTGGTATTCAAAGTGAACGTTTGCTGAGGTGAAGTTAAAGACAGAGCCAAGATGGTAGGTTTAACAATGAAAATTAGTTCATTTTTACCATTATATGGTTGCCAAACAGGGCAGTAACTACCATTGAGGACACAAAGGTTATGTCCTCTGTATTTTATTAAATTATTTATTGCTTAAATTGTGATACAAACTAAAATAAATTACAGTAAAACTAAATGTAGCGTTAGCAGTCTATCATGAATGCAGACGAAAACATGGTTTACTATTGCATTCTTATGGCTTCATACAGGAAAAAGTCTCTTGGTCGAGGAACGTCTCACGCACCGTTCATTTTGCGCAAGCTCGGTATAACACATTACGTAACAACCTGTATGCTGTTTAACTTGGCTTTGCAACACAAAACAGACATATACTCAACAAGGACGATGATCTTGGTCTCCCACTAAACTGTAATGTGGTTTATGTTTGAAAAGCAAAAACTGGCGCAACAATCTACAAAAAAAAGTAGCTGTTTAATCATCCTGAGTCAACATGTGTGTCACTATGGTAAGCAGATGTTCTGACTCTTGACCTCAGTATTTATTGGGCCCTGCGTACGGCCCTGTTTCCAAATAATTTTATTTTAACACTTTGTTAGAAGATGAACTCACTATTGGGTGACTGAGGTCTCTGTTCATAAAGAAGAGAAAAAAAAGAAAGAAGAAAGAAAAGAAAAAAGAAGTGAAAGTAAAACACCTTTTATGAAAAAAAAAAAATAAAAATCAACTTAATCCCTCCTTTGTTGCCAAAAAAAACACCTGGTTGCATGTTCAGGCTTGCACCAACAAGCTCCATGGGTTATTAAGGCTATTCATGTCTTCCTGGATGAGAGCAACTGAAAAGTGGTGCAGAAATCAAAGAGAAGAATGAAAATACAAGTACAAGAAACTCACAAAGATGGAGAAGACCAGGGCTGCGATTCCAAGAGGCAGGCAGCAGCAGAGCATGGTGAAGATGGAGTAGCCCAAATAGTCGTTGACCGGGCTGGTCAGAGGAGCCTGGGTTACGTACACGGTGGGCTGCATGGAGATGGGAGCTGGCTGTCCTGGGTGCTGCTGGCTGGGATAAGGCTGCTGGTTGTATACCACACCTTGCTGCTGGGGGTATCCATAACCCTGAAGGCAGCAAGAAGGAAATACAATTAAAATCTGACTCTGGATGTTAAAGACATAAAAATAGGAGGATATGTATTCAATGCTATATTTTACCAGTGGAGTTTTTGATATGGGTATGCCTTACCATCCAGGGCAGTTTAGCACAGTGTATGGGAAATAAGAAAATAAGAGAAAAAGTTTGTACTTTAAGTCAGACTTTAAGTTATATCTATAAAGTATCTCTTCATACAGCTTATTGTGAACCTTGAGTCTTGCTGTAAGAACCTCCTAACATAACACTGAGTGCTTAATAGGTCTAGGCAATTCATTGTATTTGCAATATGATAGTTTGACAAAATGTAACTTTTTAAAACGGAGAACACTTAATTTTGGTCATATTACATAAAAAAAGACAGATTTCTCGTTCCAGCCCTTAAAGTGGCAGTACATAGCTTAAAGTAGGTTTGCAGCAGGTTCAGAAAGTTACAGCTAGCACCCAGATCCACCCATGCAAGTAGACAGTAAAGTCCTGCAACGATGGAGACTGGAGAGGAAAGCTATGAAGGTCATGAAAACAATAAAACCCTGGAGTGAAACATTTATGATTGTTGCTAGTGTAAAAGAAAATCTTAAAAAAAATCACAAAAAAATTCAGTCTCAGCCCTAATGCATACTTACCTTTACTAAGTTTGCAAATTAGAAACATAAATTCACTCTGGAAAACAGGAAGTATGATGACCAGCAAAGAAAAGCAGCTCTAAAAGAAAAAAAACTGTATGGAAACCAATTAGTTAAGAGCACATTATTTTAGTTCTAATGTTCCTAAGATGGCTTCCTGTTTCTCAGAAGATATAATTCAAGTATTTCTGTTAGTTTGTAAACCACTGAATGGCTTCCTACCTAAATATGTTAAAGATCGCCAGAGAATCAACATTAAGGCTACTTAGGTTCATATCTACTCTGCCTTTCCAGAATCAGAACCAGGAGAACCATCCAATTCATATGCTCCATAAATCGTTATAGAAACTTCCAGAAATCCATTAAACTTTTAAATACAGCAAAATCCATTTGTCTATAACATGGTGATAGAAGTCTTTAATCTTTAGTCACCAATGTGTGAGCCTGCAAGAATCTAGAAATAGAAAAAGCTCTCTTCCCCAGTAAGAGAAGGGAGTTGCCAGTGACCAACACTTCAGAGGTAACAGGCATACTTCATCAAAAAGTCCCAAAAGGTTCACAACCTCATAACCCCATAATGACTGTGCTACTGGTAGAATATTTGTCATTGCACTGAAGGTGGAAGGTTTGCAACTAAACTCACATCATATTTGTAGTCATCTCTTTTATCACCCCCCAAAAACTGTCTTGTAAAAACTAACTTAATTTACCTTTTTTTCTACTCCTCCATTAACAATGAAAGGTTTTACTGACAAAAATGAAGAAGTATGAAGGTATAAATTATAAAGGTCTAGGATGGGTTATATTAAGATTTTCAGAAGGTACAAAATTCAACATTTTACAGTGTGAAAAATAATGACAAATTTAAAACCTTCTGTATGACTGAAAACCTCAGAACAAACCTGAGAGTATTTGTTTCAATCTTGAACTGATTTGGGTGGAAACTAAAGGGGAAATTTTGGGCCAAAATGCAGAGCGGCATTCAAATTAGCAAAAACTCTTCATTCCAACTCTAAGGCAGTGGAGAGATATTTGGAGCGGGCTTTGAAAACAGTGAATTAAATCCTTTGTACCTCAGCTTTTTTTCATCTTAAGTCTTTCAGTTAATTCAAATATACTGAAAACAAAGCTAGCTGCCATGGGGCAATGCACTCCTACATTGCTAAGGGATGAGCCATAGTTGTTTCACATTGTACACTCTACAATGAATGTAAACTTATTTATACCCAACAGTTTTGGTATAGATGGTCTGAAAATAAAAGTAAAAATAAAATCTAAAGGAAATGGAGAAGAAAATTTGGCTCATTATCACACATCTCTGTTGAAGGAAATTAACTCAGAGTGCGCAGAGTGTCAGGGAAGAGGAAAACAGCCATTTACATTTATCTACTTGGTTAACTAATTTGCCTATGAGCAACAAGATCCTGTGTCTCTGATTCTGCAGTTTCTCCCTGTGCATACATGGGTTCTTCTCACTCTGAGCTCCCACAGTTGTTTTTCACTGTTTGGTTAATTTGTCTTTTCCTTCTCAATCGCTCTGAACCACAACTACGTGCATGATTGTTTTTTTGGTGTATCTTTGGGGTACAGTCTGGGCACCAACCCCCCGCATGCAATGATATACTATTATGATGGATGTATCAACTAAGGAAAATCAAAATATTTGAGATTCCTCACATCAATTTTGATCCCCCTAAAAAGAAAAGCATTTTGTCCAGCTTTTATTTTGAATCTAAATTGGCTAAGCATGTTATTGTATTGTCATTACAAGATAATGATGAGAACATATCCTCAGAACCAAACCATAACTTCTTTGTTTCATTATCTAATGTTCTATTTTGTAATGCAAAATAGCATAACAGCCATTCACAATGGCCCTTCCAAGTCAAACGCCAGCTGGATGGCAGTAACCTGACTCCGCCAGATGGATTAGATGGATTTGCTCTGCATATCCATCTGGAAACCTTCAGTTGAAGTAATTTTGGGAAGGGGCTAAAATACTGGTTAGCTGATTGGCCTATGTTGGTGATAGACGGGCCAAATAAACCAATCAGATCAACGAAGAATATGACATACTAACAGTGCGACGACGAAAACACAACCACAAGCCAGGCACAAGCCAATTGATAGATCAAACTCTTGTCGAAACCAGTCGGGAGAAGAGCAAAAACGTCTTTTCCTCTGAGAAAAGCCTCCAGAGCAGTGTTTTGCTCTTCTTTCAGTGAAGAAATACTCTGTAATTCCGATAAAACTTGCTCGACAGCCACCCTAACGCTAGTTTCATCGGCTGAAGCCGCCATGTTCTTTAGACTGAACTGTCGCGCTTCTCGTTGCGTCACACCTCAACCCGCCTCAAAGCCAACGCTGATTGGACGTTCGTTTGGTGAACTGCTCCAAATGTTGTTTAACGGAAAGTAGCCAGAATGATCTGCGAGTGAAACCTTGAAAGCTTGTGAGATCAGGATGGTCTCACGAGGCTAGGATGGCAGCCCACTTCCCTGCAACTGCCAGCAAAATCCCTTCCATTAACCCAATTTATTTTTTTACTCTGACTCCACCCTTTAACTGAATTACAGGGTCTGACCAGGAGATAATGCTTCTCTTTAGATCGTAATGTCCACAAACCATGACAGAAAGACTATATTAGTACAAAAATGTATGTTTACAAAGGAATTGTAGGGGACCAGCCAAGGGCCCATCAAGGAAAGTGGGGAAATTTTTAATGGCTACTACTGTACTGTCCAACAATATCTGACTGACTGTGTGGTAACATGCACCTAGAAATAGAAATGTTTTAAAACTGACATTTTTTCTGTTCCCATCTTCATTTCGGGAGGTCTGATCACCCACGCTAGACTTTAAAGCATCATGACTCTCTTTCACTCTAAACTTCAAAGTTAAGAATTATTAAACTGAGGACCTAAAAGTCATTTAGTAAAACTCTGCTAACTCAAATATGTAGAGGTAGTGTAACATCTTGTTTTTCTGTACATTTAACTAAGGCTATGTTCACACTGCAGGCCTTTATGATTAATTTCGATTTTTTTGTGAAATCCGATTTTTTCCAAATATATGCGATTTGTATGTGATCTACTGTGTGAACTGCAGTCATACAACGCAAGTGTCCCGCATGCGCAGTAGAGGATGCAATGACATCACAGGCCAGCATGCTCTGTGTTTACGTAAGTAAATATGGATGGTAGTGCCGGAGCGCCTCTAGCGATCTTTCCCAACCATAAAAACACAATCTTTTCAAGATGGTTAAACATAAATACTGCTCTCTGCATCACCGTCTACCATGGTTGTTGTTTTTCTTGCCGCTTCTTCATAGCCATTGGATTTGGGTCACTTCAGGCTGCAGTGTGAATGTAGCCTTTGTCCCAATTGATTAGTCTGATTATTGGTGTGGTAATTAATCATAAGTTAATAAGGAACAACTTTACTTGAACAAGGAGGCACTTGTGCAGATTTTGACAATAAGGGCCAGAACACACTAAATTTGATTTTGTATCCGATCCAACAGAAAATCGTTTTTGACGAGTTTGTGGTGTTTAGCGCTCATTAAAAGTCAATGAGGATGATAACACCCAACATGATTTTACGCAAAGGGGTCTTGCGTAGCTCCAACTGAGATAGATTCGGTTCTATTTTAGTCAGACTATGCAGCAATTCAGAGGCAATTTCATGGGTCTGATAAGAAGAGAGACACTGTTACAAAGTAAAACACATCCACTTTAGGGTGAAAAACAGGATAAAAGCTGTTAATGGCACGGGGAAAGAGTAAGTTTTGTAGCCATACATTGCGTATATAAACAGCAGGACAGATTTTCGCAAAAACAATGAATGAAACATAAAAAAATATATACTTTACTTATGATATGAATTCAGGAGGATAGAAAACGGATAACACAGAGTTCCTCTTTGAGCCTCGCAAAAGCAACGAAGGGCAGAAAGTCCAGTTTATCAATTTCTTCGAAAAAGGACTTTAGGGGGACAAAAAGATATAGTAAAATAGTGATCCTCTTTGAGCCTCACAAAAAACTAAATTATGAGGTCAGACAGAGCAGGTAAGCGTGGCACATCGCTCTCACCTCTTTATGAAAAAAAGAAAGTAAAACTTCGACAAACTTCACTGATCTCTCTCTGAGAATGACCTCTCACTGCCTCAATCAGCATATAAACATCTCATGGCGTTTGTTGCAGTTTTTCTTTTCTTTATACGTAGATCTCATTATGTTTTTTATATAAACATATAAACACTCTCCTTGTGTTCTGGTTTGAGATGCTGCCCAGACTCGTTAAATGGTGCTTTGCTTTATAGAATTCGCCAGTGTTTTTTCAAATGATTTTTTTATGACTTTTCCTAATCTTTCGAAGGCAAATGTGGGAAATTGTTTTAATTTGCATATAGCATGGAGACAGAAGTGGAAAAAAAATCTGCGCAGATCTGCTCACCGTGCCTAGTTGGAGTCTCTCTATACGCAGTCATTGTGACATGGAAAAAAAATTTTATTTGTTCGGAGATTAGAAAGTCGTATGCAACCGGTGTGTTCTGGCCTTTAGACCTCAAAGCTTTACGAGTTGACACAGTGTGGCTAGCATGGCAAGATCCCGTATAAGGCAACTGTTAAATTTAAAGATGCTGTGAATTATTTCATTAAAGTGTTCTCCAGTCTTTAATTGCTGTCAATGTGAGACTCTTGAGATATTCATATGATTAAGTATAAACCATTGCTCTTTTTTGAGAGCAATGCATTGCTACACATTTCAATGTCAGTACAGATAACAAAAAATTGGAAATTCAGATAATAAAATGAATTTGAATGCCATTTTTTAATCAATCTGCAGTCAACAGTTCTCTTATCAATTAAGTCTTCACCCCATCTTGAACCAAAACCTGTCAATGTTTCGACATTATGCATGTTATATATAAAAACTCAACACTTCTACTATTATTGAAGGTCAACAGATATATACTATATTTATAGACTTATTCAGAAAATGGAGAAGTTGGAATTCCCCTATAGTCAAAGAAGCTCAATAGCAAAAGCTACCTTTAGTTAATAATCAAAAAATAAAAACCATACCTGAATGTAGGAAACTGCCTGCTCATAAGTTTAATTAAAAGAATACACCACTACATTAAAATATTAATACTTCTGTTACCTAATTGAAAATATTAAGTAAAATAAATTTTATTGGATTTTCTAAGAATCCTTGTTTGAAATGCGAGTTCTCAAATAATTTTGAGTTCAACCTGTTTATCAGGATTTGTGTGGGCGAGGCTCATCCCATCCTCCATGTTGCTGTTGCCACACTTGGATAGGTAATGAAAACCGTTAAACGGTATAAGAATCTTACAGGAAAATTGAAACTGAATTTTCTTTTTTTTTTTTTATTAGGACAAAAATCTTATTTTTGTATGAATAAATCTGACTACACTGGACAACTGAATGGGTTGTGGAACTAAAGACAACAACTGTTTTCCTCAGTTTTACTTCTCCATTTAGATTTCAGCTTAAACAAATTAGATCATATCGTCAGAAAATTACTAATGCTCTATTAGTGTTGTAGTACTATAAACTTTTTATTTTTATGAACTCAAACAGCTTCATTTGTTACTACAACTACCAGTTCATCCTAATCATACTCAGATTAATCATCATTATCCAGAGGAATTTTATATATTACTAACAGAAACATGGATGATATGAGACCACTCCCGAACCTATTTGAAACATCTTGCAACAATGGAGATCCCATGAAATCCAACAGCAATCTCCCTTACTGGATCGCAGCATCACAAGCAGCCATTGTCATAAAAACCAACAGAATCTTATCCTTAAAAAGGGCTTCCTTTGAACAGTAAGTTCCTCTTTCATTAAAACACATAAATCAGACCCAAAGGTTTGACTAAAATGTACTTAAAAATAATGGTTGATACTACTTTTAAAAAAGTAATGTGTTTCATCTACTACGTCTTACGTAATTACTTTCGACATTACAGAGAGTAAAAGTTTAATATGTGCTGTTACATCAGCAAAGATTTGATAAAAAACAGAAATTTATCACATTCACTGTTGATGATCACCTATTTTTTTTTGTTCATAGATTTCAAATAATCAATGATTATTCTTTTTTAATCATAATAAATAGAAAAAAAGATTAGAAAAAAAGAAACAAGAGAGAAGAAAGGTGATAAAATTGTTGCTTTAATTTAAATAACATTTCCTTTTTATTTTTAAACACTATTACTGACATACAAGTAAATTACAAAAAGTTCAACTATTTAAATGCTTTTTTCCCCTTACCTGCTGTAAAGGCTGAGCGGCTCCCGGGTAATCATGATAGGCAGGAGGGGGGTTCAGAGCAGCTGCGGATTTCTCATCTTCAAAGCCTGGAGGGGCCCCTGACTTGTTAGAATCCATGGATGTTGCAGAGTGTATCTGTCACTAATCTCACTCTAGGAATAAAATAATGCTCCTTTCTGAACCAAACTGTGTGATGAACAACTTGTTCTCAGGGGCGCCCAAAATGTCCGACCCACTCTATGCACCTGGTCTAACTTAAAAGTCCAGAAAAACCCCAAGTCGCGTAAAGTTAATTAAATCAAATAATTGATTTCCGGCAGTGACTTTCAAAATAAAATATCACCCTAGCGTCCTTAGATTTATCTCAGGGCCGCTTGAAAAAAATAACCGCTTATTATGATGTTAGTGGGGTAACCTTCTAAATCTGAAGTTAGATATATTTTAAAGAATATGAAACAAGCTGGTTAATCTCGGATTTTCCTGTTATTGCGACAGAAGCCCATTGTTTTTGTATTAAACTGGCTTTTATTTTGAATATAGCACCGTTTCCAGATTGGATACGATGTTGTTGGATATTGTAGATTTCCTCATTTTTTTATTCTCTCTCTCCTTTACATAACATAAACATCTAAGAATTAATTTTGTTAAAATAAAAGATTTCTATTGGAAACACGCATCATTTATCTACAGTTGTTTAGGGTTGAAGCTTCAACCGTTATTATTTACTTTGAACATAGGAGATGCTTATTGGAGCCCCCACATTCTTTTTCTTTTATTCAATGTTTGATTATACTGTTATATTGTATTATATTTTCAAAATAAATGAGATAGTTAAAGTTTTTGAATATTTACACGCCTGTTGGCTACAGATGTTTGTACAAACAGCACATGGCAGCAGTGGGTGGGCGGGTTGAGTAGAAAGTGGGGGATTTCTGCAAATGCCCCATATTTCCTGGAAATGAAAATTAAGCAATCCAGTGGAAACAGGCGGAGTTTGCCCGGGGGTAATATTGTTCCCAGACTGAGATGACATTTAGAGATATCCGTGGAAAGAACTCCGGAGGTCTCAATCTGCTTTTGATAGTGTAAACCAAAACATAAATAAAAAGGAGTCTGTTGATTTACTAAGTAATGCCTCTACATCAGTTGTTTGAAAGGCACCTTCAAAGGGTCCACTAGAGAGAGCCATTATCACTTTGTAAAATTAAATCCACTGATCCCATTGGGGAACATTTTAGACGTGAACATTCTAGTGAACATTGAGATTTACAGACAAGTCAATTTTACCCATATATATATATATATATATATATATATATATATATATATATATATATATATATATATATATATATATATAAAGAAAAATATATAACAGGTGTTTTCTGTTGTGATTAGATTGTAGCTACATATTGAGTCTACAGCCTGGTGGAGGATGAATGGATAAAGATATAAATGATAATCTTGTGAAATGCACTTGTTTCTTCTTAAATTTTCTATCCTGATCTAGATCTTTAACCCACGGAGTGAAATTCAGTCAAAGACACATGGAATAAACTGGGTATTATTATTATTTTTATTATGGTTTTTTTTTTATTTGATTTCTTTTCTCATAAAAATTTCAATAATCAAAGCTGTTTTCAAAGACAGATGCATGAATACTCCTGGGGAAAAAATAACATCTTCATTGACTTTACATAGTTTCAACAACATAACAGTACATTAATATTGATATCTTTTGGTAAGAACTTACAAAGAATTAAGTTGCTCTAATTTTTACAAGTTATTGGAAAGACTTACATTTTGTGGAACAACATTGTGTCAAATTTCGAAGCTTTCAAATGGTCAGCTAAAATAAAAAGGATATTATACATGCCACTTTAGCTGAAATAAAAACAGTGATGAAACAATGTTTTTCATAATTCTGATTAAAATAAACAACTGATTGATTGATTGATTGATTGATTGATTGATTGATTGATTGATTGATTGATTGATTGATTGAATTAGGGGCACTAGGATTAGAAACACATTCAGGAAACTGAATAAAGCATTAGGAGGAGTAAAAAGTTAGGTCAGCTTATTTAAAGTGTCTAAATTTGATGACAAATGCCTATAAGTGCTGTTATCGTCTCAGAGTTGGATGCTGAATGTGAAAAATGTGATGCAAATATTTTGGAGAAATTATAAATAAAGTGCAATAACAAGAACTATAAACACTGAGGCCCAAATTAAAGTCCCGAACCCCAGAGCCACAAGGTTCAATTTCCAGGCTTGGTTGCTGATCCGATGTGCTGTAAACCTCTCACCGAGGGCGTTGGCGTTACGAGTCTGTAGGTCAGAGAAAGAAAAGAAAACATCATAAGGCATGGCCATGTCTTTGAGCCTTTTGGTGCGGAAGACCTGAGCTTCGGAGTCTCAGGTAGCAGATGATCATGAAATTGTATGGCTCTGACTGTCTGCAAGAGGGAATAAAATTCCTTTTCAACAAATCTTCATTTGTTTGCACTTTCCATTTTATCGTGTGTCTATCAGGATAGAAGATTTGTATCTTAGCGATATCCATAGTTTAAAAATATTGTATAAAATCTATACTACCTATAAATTAGAGGTATGTATTTTCAAAGAATCCACACCCCTTGAATATTTTCACACCGACTAAAATTAAAACCCTGAACTAAAATGTATTTTATTGGGACTGTATATGCAAGACAAACACAAGGTGGTGCAAGACATTTTGAGTTGAAAGAAAAGATAAACACAGTTTTGTCAAAGATTCCAAAGTTATTAAATTCGTATTTTATTCTCACCCCCTTTACACGCATTACGCAAAATGATTTATATACCTGGCAACTAGAATACCATTACCCTAAATTTGTTTGTAGTTTTCAGTCTTCATCATGTCCACCCCTTCAAAGTTCTCTGAGTGTGAGCTTTAGCTGCTTGCAACGTTTGGAAATATCAAACAGTGTGTGCCCGGCTTTAAAAGTATGGAGGACAATCTTTTATTTCTGGGTGGATCATCTAAATAAGTGGTTCTCCTAATTGTCAATCATTCTGGTGATTACATAAGGCCATCCTACGTGCTCGCCCGTTAGCTATCTTTTACTGCACATGCGCACTTTGAGGCATATATCTGTGGTGAGCTACGGTTTTAGACAGTCATTGAAGCTGAACTTTTTTCCCTTTGGTACCTTGAATATAGCCCAGGGTCTTAAGGTACAACGTTTATGAGAAGAAAAGAAAGGTCTCAGAAGAGGCGGATATATCCCAGAATGCTTTGCACGGAGAGCTCTCCTCGTAAAGCATTATGTAATTTGCAGTTGACATCGTCTGTTGCAACCCGACAGCGGCAACGACAGTAATAACAAATGGCACAGGCAACGCACAGTGGAGGAGGAGTTACTGGACCAACGGAGCAAAAAGCAGTGATCATCTGTCCGAATGGTAAGTCAGCTGAGTTTGCTACTAAATAGTCCCCGCTCGATATAGTGATTGAGGGATTTAGGGGTTAGAGCAGGCGTTCAGGCACAGTAAGCTTGTATGAGCTATGAAAACAGCAACTTTTAAACAGAGCGTGCACGAGGACAAATGGGCTCGTGCACGTTCTTGCATACATATTTTTTTTAAGTGGAGAGGGCTGGTCTTTTAAAAACTCGTGAAACTCACAAACACAATACCTTTCATGTCAATCTGTAAGACCTCCTCTTGGAAAAGTGATTGCGAACTTGTTTTTTTTTTTTTTGTATGAGCCCCTTTATCAGAGGAAAGCTGCTTATAGCTAACTGTAAGTAGATGGTCACAGGAAGCTGAAGAAGCCCTGTGAATTTGTTTGGAGATTATAGGCTGAGATGCACTGTCTCAGCCTCCGGGAAGTACTTCAATAGAATGACTGTGTACATGAATTATTAATAAACTTCTGAGTAGGTAACACCATCCCCAACAGCACACTTTGATGCTTTGTTTTGCTTTTTATGTGAGCTTGTTTTGAAATTTCTGCGATTACCAAAACTGGAAGTGTGTTAACAATAGACCTCCTTGATATCCCTAGTGCGGTCTGTGTTCCACCAAAATTCAACAGTGC